GCCACGATGCTTCGCATTCTTACTAACATATTGGTTGTATTCATGTGGGTAGAATATATGCGCCGGAAGAGTTAAAGGTGTGAACGTAACCCAGCCACAGTCCAACATTCAACAGTTTTAAACAAGGTTTGGCATACAGAGATCTCAGCCTGCCTGGTCCCATGGCAAGCACCCCATTAAACATCCTCTAACCTTCTATTAAAGATACAGAAAAAGAAGGAAAAACAGTTGAAATCTTTGAAATGTGAAGTATTAAGTATGGCTTTCGTTTTAACAACATCCCTTATTCTCTGTTTCCCTTTGGCTGGAGAGAGTTTATAGAAGGAACCCTCCACCCCATTTAACAGTTTCTTGGAGGGTATTAAAGATGGTAATTACTGTGCTGATTTTCACTGGCAAGTTCACTGCTGGAAAATCACTGGCACAGCTCACGGTCTGATCGGCCACTCCGAGACTCGGCAAACTTGTGCCAGCGTTGTGCTGTCTAGGGCATTGCATTTAGCTGCCTCTCTCTGGTCACTGGCTTACAGCAGTGTTGCAAAATACAGAGTCCTGGCCGGCTAAGCCACACGCTCCTCAGACAGAAGGAATAAGAGAAGAAATAAGATAGGGAAGCACAAGGACACATGGTGTTGGGGGGAGCGCACAGACAAATGCTCACATTCCAGGTGGTGTGGGGGTGGTGGTATCATCTGGGTCCCTCTCTCTGGGTTGGCCTGGTCGAGCTATCTCTCAGGATTAAGATGTAGAAGATCTGGGGTCCCAGGAGATGGTCTTTCAATCAGCCAGTGTCATGGCTGCCCTTCCCTCCTCCCCAAAGTCTCTTTATGAGGATCTGAAAGGGGGAGTGGTGGGTGGAAGAGTCCATCCCCTCATTTTTTTTTGTCCACAAATTAGGCTTAATTTCCAACACACCAGTTTTGATGCATGGATTTCCGGTCTCACACTGTTCTTGTTTACCAGGCATGATCTTAGCACAGTCTTTGAATAATATCAGTAGGCCTTTTTGTTTGGACTAATTCAATCTTTTGGTCTTTTTTCTGAACCTTTCCTCATCCCCACTTGTTGTGGGGTATTGACACTTCATAGAATATCAGGGTTGGAAGGGACCTCAGGAGGTCATCCTAGTCCAACCCCCTGCTCAAAGCAGGACCAATCCCCAACTAAATCCCCAAATCCCTAAATGGCCCCCTCAAGGATTGAACTCACAACACTGGATTTAACAGGCCAATGCTCAAACCACTGAGCTATCCCTTCATGAACTTTCACTCACCTTTCACAGATGAGCTCAGAATTAGGGGACATTATTACAACAGCCCTGATGACTTAAATAGAGCTACCCAGATGCGTAAAGTGAGGCATGTGCCTATGTCTTCCCTGGCTTCCTCCAGGATTTCTTAGCAACTCAGCCTATATGAAAAGCCCAGATCAAATGTCTGTTTTCTTTTGTATTAACAGACTCAAAACTCACAGGCTACTCCTCCAAAGGCCTTCAGAAATTGCTGGCACATGTAATGTCCATTAACGGTACAAAAAAAAGTTTTGGGGGGACCGATGAGTTCCTTTAAATTATCCAGTGTGGGAAAAGGACTTGGAATATTAAAAACAAACACACACACACAATCTCAGAAGATACTAAGCCTTCACAAATGAAGACTATATCTGAATTGAAGCTGGGCAAAATTTTTCAAGTGAAACTTTTTTGGTGAAAAATGCAGATTTGGTGGCACCAAAACATTTTGTGAACCTGTGTCATTTTGTCAAATTGTTTTGGTTAAAACAAACCTAAATAAAATTTCAGAAAAAAATCAGTGTTTCATTTTGACATTTTCTAAACAAAACATTTCATTTTTTTTGGTTCTTTTGACTTTTCATTCCAAAATATCCTTTAATTTTATTAAACAATCAAAAATGTTGAAAAATGGTTGAAATCAAAACAAAATATTTCAGTTTTGCTGAAACAAAACATTTTGTTTGACCTGAAGAGAATTTTTTTGACTTTTTGATTTGCTGAAAATTTTGTTTCTGGTTTGACCTGAAATGATTTTTTGAATTGTCAGTGAACTGAAAACAATTGTTATCTACCCAGCTCCATCCGGAATCAACTAAATGTGAGTCCAGGTTTCGATTAGTGCAGTGTCCCAGTACCTCATACCCAGACACACTTGGCTGCATTAAGTTTAAAGAACCAAAGTGCAAGTTTTAGTTAATGAAATTGGTCGTTGACTCACACCCTAAAGATGAGAAACAATGAATCAGCCTAAACTCACTCATAGAAATAGCTTGTGTTTTCTTGACTGTTTTGTTCAAATGAATCCCATGTTCTACCCATTTTCTAGGTCCTCTTCTAATTTGATGGTACCCAGTAGGAGCTTGTCTACACAGTGCTACTTCCAGACTATAGGGCTGTGAATTGTAGAGCGCTCTAACAGGGTGTGCACTAACTGCCCCTTGTAGATCCTGCTGGGATGAACTAAAAGGTACCTAGCTTGTGTTACTAATAGTCTTGGGACTACATCGACGAGAACTAGGTACCCCTAGTTTGCACCAGCAGGGTTGGCAAAGTGCAGTTAGCATTCTAATGGGGTGCACACTCTATAATTCCCACACGGTGTAGACACGCCCTAGGTCTACACAACTGGAGTGCAAATTGCTCATTACTAAACCAGTTTGCGTCATAGTTTATATATAGCAAGTGCCATAATCTGTGATTATTGAACTTTTCTCTACGTCAGATTCAACATGCTGTAGTTTATCCCTTATTTAAGGTAAGAATCCTGATGGGGCTGTCTTCAGATTTGCCTGGTTGCTTTCATTCTGTGGCAAAATGTTGAATTTGCTAATCACTCTTTTCAGTGTGATATTCCTTTGTTTTCTTTTCTCCAGTAATTTCCTGAATGCATACAGACCATGCTGTAGTCAAAACAATTCGACTGAACTAAGATATCGGCTAGCATAGACACTACCTCAAATCTAATGTGACTCACGATCATTTTCATCTCTAGGGAAACATTATGTACTTTTGCTTTATTTCTATCTAATGTCTAATTATTTCCAGAGTCAGTGCTTACTGCCTCTTTGTCGCTGTTATTTTATAATTAATGGACTTTAAACAGAAACTATCCAGTTTGTAATTGAGATAGAGTCTAGGAGAAATGGATCTTAATACACCTTACAATTGGCTAGGTTTTAAAACGTTAAAAATGCACATGAAGCAGGATGCATGTTAACTACAGAGGGACTGATCTGGCTTTCTTGGAAGCATCGGACTTGCCAGCGGGCTCCATCGGGTCTGTATCCTGTCTTTGACATTGACTGGCATCGGCTGCATCAGGGGAAAGTGCAAAACAGCCAGTAGTAGATGGCTATGGAATAACCTGTTAAGAGGGAAGTTCCTAGCCCTGTTAATTTGAGGTTGGTTATGCCCCGAAGCATAAAGGTTTACCCCACTGTAAAACTAGAGTGCTGTGGTGGTGAATCAGCCCGCAACGTGTTCATTGACGGCATAGCCACCAAGCTGCTCATAGCAGCAAATTACAGTTACATACAGTGTGCGCCTGGTCAGGTTTTAATTGCCCTGGCCACACAGAAAGAAAGGCCAGACCCAATGGGTGTGGTTTAATTAGGCCAAAACAGTATTTACTTCACTTATCTGAGAATACCAGCAATAAATCATACCATGCAGGTCCTCATTTCCTTAATCCTGGTTCCAGTAGCCCATTGCTGGTACCCTGCTTCCCCCCTGCCTCAGATGAGGGGTAAGGCGGGGAGGTTGTCTCCTGGCTCTACCCAATGTTAGGAGCCCCATCCACGCCTCTTTCCCCAACTTCTTTATGGGATGCTTCCCCAAAACCTTCTTCCAACTCCTGTTTATCCATGAACGGTATCCCTTCTGTAACGAGGCCCTGCATGGGACAACTGCGAGATTTGGACCTAACCTCAGTACCGATCCCTACCGGGTCCGTGGCCAACCCACCCTGCCTGGCCAATGGGACTGCTGCAGGACAAATTCTTCCCCAGTTCCAAAGGAAGAAGGTGATGAGTGCAAAGCTCAGCCAATCGCAGAAACCCGGTCCTACTCTCATCCCATTGCTGCTGGCCTGAGGTAGAGAGAGTGAGTTCCTATCAAGGTGCAGGGGGTCTAAATACCTGCTCTCCCTGCACACGTTGGGTCAATGTTTCCCCATACCTGGTCCTTCCACTTCTTTTTCCTCTCCTGGCTCTGTACAAGTGAGTTCCCCTATTGCCCCCACCCCCAATCCCTTTAAGTGTAGCGCCTTAAAGAGACTTGTCCTCTTTCTTTCTGTAGCCAGACAAGGACTCACCGACTCCAGTTACAGTGAGTACATTTTATCAAGCCAACGTTCACTTCACCAGTTTAATAAGCGAACATATTATGCCAGTGATACTCACACTGAGGCTCGTGATCCTCAAGTGGCTTTTTAATGTCTCCCCTGCGACTCTTTGCAGCACATGATATTAAAACACGGTGTGATTTAATTATTAACCCATCTAAGGTATTAACCAATCAGGAGGCTTTTACTATGTTATTAACCAATTGTAGTGGATAAAATAACACTTGGTCAGTCTTTTTGCTGTGAGAATAATAGGTATGTAGATATAAAAATAGTAAATGAAACAATGAATTCACACTGCTGTGGCTCTTTGGGGTAATGTTGATCACTCATTTGGCTCCTGAACCACTGAGATCCGAGTGTCACTGTATTATACAGTACATGAATAGGTGGCGAAGAAATTAAATTCACTCACAAACTCTCATTCTCTGTTTCTGATGTTTACTTTATCATTCATTACTGTTTCCTCTGGAGGTGATTCCCTGGCCTTTTGTAGAAACAGAAGAGGCAGCAGGATCTGTTCAAAGAATATACAAAACATTTCCCACCCATGGTGTCATTAAAGGCTATTCTTCCTGGAAGAGCAGAAGTTGCGATAGAGACCCTGAGAAATTGACCAGTCATACTCAGAAGTATGAAGAGAATGAAGCTAGAGGAAGTAGTGGTTGGTGAGTCAGCGTGAGTAATTTTGTTCCAATGAGAATGAAGATTGAGGGTTTTTTTTTCCCTCTTAAACATTTTGGACATCATTGCTTAATGGAGGGAAATAAGCGATATTATGTCTGTGTAGCTAGTACTTCTTGATTTTTAAATCAAATGAAAAAATATTTAGACTCTAGATATGTGTCTTCATAGGCACCTTCCTCGTAGGAAAGTGAGGGGGAAAACAGCTCCTGGTGAGTATGTTTCTGTCCTTTTTGTATTGGTGATAATTTTTCAGTATGTATTAGAATCTAATGTGGGGTTAACTTTGCCCTCCTGGGACACAGAACTGATGTATTCAGTGCACTGAAACGTTAGCAGGATGGAATTGTTTGGTTTGGTGTTGTTGGTTTTTTTTTTTCATCCATATACCATTGGCAGATGTACTTTTGATTTGTGAGTTTTCCTAATAATGAATGCACTGGATTCATTACAGCTTGTAGCTGCTTGTTGTAGACCGAGCACTTGGCCGTGTTAGATGGTAAAGAAAACTGATCAAGAAGCCATTAAGTTCAAAAGTTGAGCTCAGTTTGATGTGGGTTATTGCACAAGCCAAGGGGAGGAGGGGGCTGAAGTTTGCTGTTTCATTCTACATACAGGGAGGGTAACTTCTGTTGTTGGGCTGCCTGCTGTTAGTGCAAGATTTTCATTCAAGAATGGACAGAAATGCAAGATATGGACGTTTAATATATAACTGTGTTTCAATGGAGACCTGATCCAAACTCCACTGAAATCAACGGAAGGTCTCCCATTGGCTTGGCTCACGCTCTGTGCTACACACATTCTTCGTCATTTTATCCAAATGCAGAGCCACAAGCCAGTAATCTGAGTGTGTTGTACCCTCCAATATAAAGGGGTAAAGCTGCTAGGTGAGAGCGAGCGAGTGAGCAATGTGATTATCCCTCACTAGGTTACTGAAGGCTGCATTTCTATTTCCCATGTTGTTAATTGACTGAGTTTGATGCTAAGCAAAATGCTGGTGCTCATCTTCTGCTGGAAACGTTGTTTTTCAAGCCTGTCTACTTACTGTAGACCCAGTTTCATTTACTGTATCACAGGTCACATGACAAGCATTTTTGGTAACTTGGTTTTGTTTTTTTTGTTAAAAAAAAAGAGAGAGAGAGAGAGAAAGAGAAAGAACCCCCCTCCCCGAATTATGGCATAACAGGAGGAAGAGTGCTGCCCTATCTCTTGGGTACAGTAACTTGAGTGCGTGGGCTACATGGATTAAAATGAGTCAGCACTCTCCTTAAAAATGGCTTGTTGTTGAAAAGGGAGGTTAAACCTGCCTTCAGCAAACAGTATCACAGTCTCGTTTGCTTGTAGAAGTCTTTACCTACTTCAGCTGCAGTTAGTAAAACGACTGGGGTGGTTGTTGTTTTTTTGAGGTACACTGCTACAATCTTTGCAGCCTGCCCTCTGGTTGCAGGCGATTCATTTGATACAACAGAATGAAAATAGCTCTCATCATGTGCTTGTCTCGGCTCGTGAGTCAGAATATCTTGCAACTACAATTCCTTCCTATGCTTAGGATCATAGATTTCACAGCCAGAAGGGGACCATTATGGTCTAGTCTGCTGTCCGGCTTAGCATAGGCCAGAAAATTTCACCCAGTGACTCCTGCATGGAGCACAGAACTTACTATGTCTTGCAGAAACACATCCAGTCTGACTGGGCTAAGAAATTATCCCTCTGGGTGCCCTGTTGGGAACCCCTGCATCGGACCAAGATCCACGTTCACACTTATTTTAGTGACGTATCAGTTACCTCGTTTTTAGTCCATTTAGTGTAATTTCAAAGGGGCCATTGTGATTATCTAGTCTGATCCCTTGCCATAGAATATCACCCAGCGTGATGCCTGCTTCGAGCCCGGTAACTTGTGTTTGACCTCAGCCACAGATTCTTTGCAGATTTGCTTTGAAGAGATTCCATTGAAAAAACTGTCTCCTAGGTGGTTCTGAAAGGTTTATCCTTCTGGTGCTTTTAGGGTTGCCAACTTTCTAATCGCACAAAACCGAACACCCTAGCCACACCCCTTCCCTGAGACCCCGCCCCGCCCCTTCCCCAAGACCTCACCCCCCACTCACTACATTCCTCCTCCCTCGGTGGCTCGCTCTCCTTCGCTCTCACTCACTTTCACTGGGCTGGGGCATGGGGTTTGGGTACAGGAAGTGATGAGGGCTCTAACTGGGGTTTGGGCTCTGGGGTGGGGGCAGAAATGAGAGGTTTAGGGAGCAAGAGGGGGCTCCAGGCTGGGGCAGGGAGTTGGGGCATGAGGGCTGTGGGCTTTGGGGTGGGGTCGGGGGTGAGGGGTGCAGGAGGGGGCTCCAGGCTGGGAGGTGGGGCCAAGGGATTCAGAGTGCAGGAGGTGGCTGCAGGTTGAGGCAGGGGGTTGGGGTGTGGGAGCGGGTGCAGGCTCTGGGGTGCAGGAGGGGGCTCCAGGCTGGGAGTGGGGCCGAGGGATTCAAAGCGTGGGAGGGGGCTGTGGGTTGACACAGGGGGTTGGGGTGCAGGAGGAGGTACGGGCTCTGGGCTGGGGGTGTGGGCTCTGGGATGGGGCTGCTGATGAGGAGTTCAGGGTGTGGGAGGGGGGTCTGGGCATGCGGCAGGGGGTTGGGGTGCGGGGGGTAAGGTCTCCAGCTGGGGGTGCAAGCTCTGGGGTAGGGCTGGGGATGAGGGGTTTGGAGTGCAGGAGGGGGCTCCGGGTTGTGGGAAGGGCTCAAGGCAGGGGCTTGGGGTTGGGGCACGGGCTTACCTCAGACGGCTCCTGGTCAGTGGTGCTGCGGGGCTAAGGCAGGCTCCCTGCCTGTCCTGGCACCATGCTGCCCCCCAGAAGTGGCCAGCAGCAGGCCCAGCTCCTAGGCGGGGGAGCCAGGAGGCTCTGCACGTTGCTCTTGCTCACAGACACCGCCCCCTAGCTCCCATTGGCCATGGAGCCGGTGCTTGGGGCGGGGGCAGCGCATGGAGCCCTGTGGCACCCCCGCCTAGGAGCTGGACCTGCTGGCCACTTCCAGGGCACAGTGCGGTGCTAGGACAGGCAGGGAGCCTGCCTTAGCCCCACAGCACCACTGACCGGGAGCCGCCAGGGTCCCTTTTTGACCGGGTGTTCTGGTCGAAAACTGGACGCCTGGTCACCCTAGGCCTGGGGGTGGAGGTGAGGGGTTCAGAGTATTAGAGGGGGTTCCAGGCTGAGGCAGGGGGTTGGAGTGTGGGAGGGGGTACAGGCTCTGGGCTGGGGCCAGAAATGAGGGATTCAGGGTGCGGGAGGAGGCTCTGAGCTGGGGCAGGGTGTTGGGGTGGGGGGATGTGAGGGCTCCGTCTGGGGGTGCAGGCCAAGGATGAGGGATTTGGGGTGCAGGAGGGGACTTCGGGCTGGGGTTGAGGGGTTCAGAGTGTGGGAGGGGGCTCTGGGCTGGGGCAGGGTGTGGGGGGGGGTGAGAACTCCGGCTGGGGGTGCAGACTCTGCGGTAGGGCTGGGGCTGAGGGGTTTGGAGCATGGGAGGTGCGGCCAGGTGGCACTGCGTGCTGTCCCGTCCACAGGTGCTGCCCCTGCAGCTCCCATTGGCCATGGTTCCTGGCCATTGGGTGCTGCAGAGCTGGTGCTTGGGGTGGGGGCAGCGTGCGGAGCCCCCTGGCTGCCCCTAAGCATAGGAGCCAGAGGGGCACATGCCACTGCTTCCGGGAGCTGTGCGGAGCCACGGCAGGAGTCCCTTTTTGACTGGGCATACCAGTTGAAAACCAGAAGCCTGGCAACCCTAGGCCCAGGGCTAGCCAGCCCTGTTCAGTTAGCTCCCACCCTGCCACACCTGCACTGGGAGGAAACCCAGGAGGGTGCCCTGCGGGAAAGCGTTACCGGAGTGGAGCCAGTGCCTGTGGTGGGCCGGGAGAAGGTCTGGGCTCCAGGGAGGCAGTGCTGGGGCCGTTGTTCCTCCAGAGGCGTGGGGAGCTGGGGCAGTGGTGGCTGACTTTTCCAGTCCAGGGAAGAAGCGGGGGAGCTGTAGTCTAGCCCTAGAAGAAGGGAGACTTCCCCTGCCGAGCCAGTGCTCTGCATCGAGTGAGCCCAGAGAGGGCTGGAAGACCCTGTGTGTTCATTTGGGACGACTGTCCAAGGCAGTGTTTGTTTGGAACGTTGAGTGCCCCAAAAGGGGGTTGAACTTGGAGAGTGACCCCACTGGAGAGCTGAGCCACATGAATCTCTGGGAGAGACAGAAAAAACCTGGTGAGGGGAAACCGAGGCAGGGATGCTGCAGGGCTACCCTGTGCCATCAGGAGGTGGCAACCCTTTTACAACCCCTTTAAAGGGTTCAGTATATTACCACTGTGCATGCCATGTAGGGGCCAGAGCCATGGCTTTGCCCTACACCTCCCCTCCTTTTCAGCAAGTTGTTCCTGGGGTACCCCCGGTATTCCCCCGGCAGGAGGCTGCAATTCTGGTCGTTGCATAGGTGGATCATACAAGGGTGGGTAGCCTTTCCTCCATGGAAGTGCTACCTCAGAGCTGGGAGTGACCTTGCTGCCCGGCTGTAGCACTGAGAAGGGTACCAGAGCGGTGGAGTAGATGCTTGTGGAGTGTCTGATCATTTTTAGAGAGAGGTTTATTGCAGCTGTATATGAAGGGGGGATCATCTCATTAACAAATGGGGAACTAAATTTTTTTGGTGGTGGGAACATCGCATTCTCCAGCCCCTTGTCACTTGGATCCTGCCATTTGTCTCGTCTGAGATTCGTGGCCACTTCGAGGTCTGACGCACAAGACAGCCGAGGTGCAGTGGTGTGGAATGACATCAGCTAAGCACACTTATATCGCCGAGCTGATGGGTAGCATCTCCGCCGCTTTGTGTACTTGGTTTCTCTCCTTTTTCGCTACAAAAATGTCACCTGACCCTCTTTGAAGAGCGATTCCCTATTGTGGTCAATGCAATGAAGCCAATAAGCAGGCATAGGGGTTCGGGGGAATGGAGAAGTGGCATAAGCCAGGTCTCAGTGGGGCCTACCCCAGAGTCCAGTGTGAGTGCTGCATGTTACCCCGGGAGACGCTGAAACTCACACCCTAACTCCAGGGCAGCACTGACAGGCTCTGACGGAAATTGCATCAAAGCCTCCTTACCAGAAGAGCTGGCTGGATCAGTGGGTTTGAGCGTGGCTGGGAGTGCAGGGCGGGGCTCTCCGGGCCTTTGAGAACAGTTCAAAGCCA